CCCCCCCCCCCCCCCCCCGACTATGAGTATCTGAGTACACACACACACACCCGACATCGGAATGCCGTGCGTCGTACGTATGTGTCGCCTTTCCTTATCCCGGCCCTCATCTCCAACACGGCCTCGGGAGTCGTGGCGATCGAGCACAAGTGCCGTGGACCTAACTTCGGGGTGGTTTCTGCTTGCGCGACCGGGACGCACGCGATCGGGACGGCCATGGACTTCATGCTCAGGGGCGAGGTGCGACCGATGGCCCGCCTGCCCTCCAGTCGTCGTTGTCGTCGTCGTCGTCGTCGTCGTCAGTTTCATGCTCGTGGGGGCATTTGTTCTGTCCTTTCGGAGCGTTGTGTTCTAGCGGTATTGGTCTAAAATGATGTTTCGGTACTGGTACCGCGCGAAGGGAAGAAATGGACACGATGGCGATGGGTGTGGCCAGTAACGTCGTGGTCACATGGTCATGTGACTTGTCGAACAAGACTTGTCGAACAAGACTTGTCGAACAAGACTTGTCGAACAAGACTTGTCGAACAAGACTTGTCGAACAAGACTTGTCGAACAAGACTTGTCGAACAAGACTTGTCGAACAAGACTTGTCGAAGACAGAGCTCTCACTCCCCCCCACGTCGCACAAATCGGAGAGTGACAGTGTTTCTACATGCACGGGGGAGCGGTAACCAACCAATAACAAAATGATGAAGGATTTGGAGAACGATCGGTCGATGGCACACCGGTGGTGCCAACTATGCGACTACTAGTGCAATATGACCGTGGCCTGTGCTGCGAATTTGTCTACATAGGTGAAGAACGCGTTGGCAGGAGGAACTGGGTACACGCCAGACCTTGTCTCTTTTTTTTGTGTATGGTCAAGACTATGTTAAAGTAAGAAAGCACGCCGTCATCTTGACCTCGTCCTGGTCATGTGGATGAACGGTGTCCCGCCTTGTCCTATCATTCAGGCGGACGTGATGATCGCCGGGGGGTCCGAGGCGGCCATGACCCCGCTCTGCTTCGCCGGGTTCTGCTCCATGCGCGCCATGGTGACTTCGTTCAACGACGACCCCGAGAAGGCTTCGAGACCCTTCGACAAGGACAGAGCCGGTTTCGTCATGGGGGAGGGAGCGGGGGTGCTTATCCTGGAGACGGAGGAACACGCCCTGGCGCGGGGGGCCACCATCTACTGCGAGGTATGCACGCATGCATGACGTTTCCGTTTCGACGAGTAAAGAAGTCTGAGACTGACGGCGTGTTTTGTGCAAGACCCGGAGGCATGGGTTTCATGGTTGATGGTATGTAGCAGCGTATCAGCAGAGTGCTTGCTTGTGGGAAACGTCGACAGATTGTTTTGTCTCTGTTGTTGTTGTCGTTGTTGTCATTGTTGTCGGTTGTTATCTTCACGTTGAAACCCGCCCCGATCAAATATCCATGCTGGATCCGGCTGACGCTGACGGACGCCTTCCATGTTCACCGGCTAAACATTTTTAACAACGGGGTATCATTCGTAGTCTGAGAAATCAGTACACACCCGTCAGAAGTGTGAACCGTTGCCATTCTGTCGCTTACCGCAAATTTCTCCTCCGCCTAACGGTGCTACATTTCAAATTCTCACAAGGTGGCGGGCTACGGGGCTACCTGCGACGCTCACCACATCACCGCACCTGCCCCAGATGGCAACGGTCTGGCGAGGGCCATCGGGGCGTCCATGAAGATGGGGGGTATCGAGGCCAAGGTGTGTTACGTTAGAAGCGTGTCCTGATTTGTACCGTCTGTGCCCCGTCCTACCGTGTTACCGTTGCATGGCACTACGATAACCGCGAGGGGAACACTGAAAGCACCACGTATCCCTTGCCGGTAGGATACACACCGACCTAACCTAGCCCCAACTTGCCCATTGTGATTTTGAAAGGGTTATACCAGTAGCGGGATGTTTGACAGCGGGAGGTGTCGATGCCGAAGGCATGTGCGCGGGGCGACTATGACTCTTGCTGTGATGCTGCTGTTGTCCGGTAAAATCGCGGTAGGATGTACTGATGTGCCGGTGTTGCGCTCCATAACCTCGCGGTTTCCATGTTTCTTGTTTCTCGTTTGGGCGTCTTTTCGTTCCATCGTTTTCATTTTTATCTCGTTTGTGCTGGTTTCGGATTGTGTGTGTGTGCATGTGTTTTTTTCATGCGTGCGTGTTGTCGGATGTTTCTTATGTTTGCGCCGTCTGTTGTGTTGATGATGAATAGGACATGGTGGGAGGATACATCAACGCGCACGGCACGTCTACTCCGTACAACGACAAATTCGAGACCATGGCCATCAAGAGGGTGCTTGGAGAGGACGTGGCGAAGCAGGTACTTCAAGAGGAAATATACGTTATTAATAGTTTGTCTTAAGTCTTTTTTTCACCGCGTTCGTGGCACGAACGTTTCTAGAGCTGTATGCATAGCTTGGTTGTGTTAAAAGGTTAGAAGGTTTTCATCAGCTTCATCTTTACGAGCATGCTGCATGGTCGAAAAGTGTATATTTTCTTTTAATGAGCCGCAGAGCGAGCGAAGCGAGCGACATTTTTTCCCTTCGTCCCCAAAGGCTCTCTATATTGGCCAAAGTTGCGCCGCGCGATACAGGGGCCCCAAAACTTTGTTTCCGGGAAGCCTATTAATCAATAACACACGTTTGGAACCAGAACGAGATCCACAGGGCACCGATTGACGATCTGATCGCTTTTGAGGAAGAAGAAAACTAGCGCGCTCTTATCCACAGCGGTTTCGTCGTGCTCCGAGAGCAGATGGCCGTGCTTCACCGGCATATGTAGCCTATATTCGTAGGAGATTGTGCTCCCCGACCCCGGGGGTTTCTACGCGAAAAGGCGTGCACAAAAGCGGAGATCGCGAGCGCGCGCGATTCATACCAGGACAAGAAGCACCGACAGAGACGCAAGAGAAAGACCAACGAACGCATCAACGCTGAGACGCTGGTCTGAGACCAGCTATGAAAACCAGGAGGGGCCGGGCCTTTACGACCTGTGCGCCGTGGGTATTCTGTAGGCATGCGCCATGTGTAACCTGGCGGGTATTTATTGATGTTGAGTGGGTCCAACCAACTGCTTCAAAAGAGCAGACCGATGATGACACAAATAACATACCTTCCCACAAGCAAGTCCAGATCACACCTACCATCATCGAGAGAACCCGTCGGGGGGGGTGAGGGTCTACTACTGCTGCTGCTGTGTGTTTTGTCAGGATGTTTCCCCGCGGGATCGGTTCAGATTGCGTACTAGCGCCGCGCTACTGACTGCTGTTNTTGATGTTGAGTGGGTCCAACCAACTGCTTCAAAAGAGCAGACCGATGATGACACAAATAACATACCTTCCCACAAGCAAGTCCAGATCACACCTACCATCATCGAGAGAACCCGTCGGGGGGGGTGAGGGTCTACTACTGCTGCTGCTGTGTGTTTTGTCAGGATGTTTCCCCGCGGGATCGGTTCAGATTGCGTACTAGCGCCGCGCTACTGACTGCTGTTTTCGCAAAGAAAGCCGTGCCCTGCATGCTGTTGTTGCTGCCGCAGCCCTGCAGGGCCTCTCGGCCTCTCGCATCAAAGTCATGACGTCATTTGACCATCAACGGTTTTTTGTTGTTTTTGGTTCATGCTGGACTGCTTGCTTTCACTCGGGCGGGAAACTCGGAAGGCTTGAGACGAATGTGGCGGGCAAGTTGTGAGCCTGACGCAATATTTGCCATCTGTCGTGTCACAATCCTATGTCTACGCTGCTGTTCGTGTTCCTCGACGGTGTGATGTCATGTGTGATACGCTCGCCGGCAGGGGGATGCCGCATGTATGCTTCTTCCAGATGCCCAGATGTACGTACGTGTGTGATTGTTTGCGTCCGCACGGCGGGAAGACTTCACAATTTGTTTCTTCGCGCATGTGCATCGAAACGGAAAGAAACAGCCGCATGTAAAGTGCAAAATTTTGAACGGTGGTCGCACGTACAATCATCGTCGCTCCCGTCGCACGCCTGCTGTCCCTCTGTGGTGCACGCGTAGGTGCACCACAAGCGATTCACGCTGGTGTGTGTCGGGATTCGTGCACCATCAGCATCGCAGATAAGACTCCTGCAAGGTATTGAGTCGCACCAAGCGGCTCATAACCCCCCCATACGTAGTGTAACCATGTGCAACACACCCGCGTATAAATACCTGAGTTTCCTTGTCCACGTTACACTGGATTAAAACGACGCTGCGGCGGCTTGCACGAGCTCACGAAAATCGTCCTCAATTTGTTCGGCGCTCGTCCGACTTGAACAGGTGTACATCAGCTCCACGAAGTCGATGATGGGGCACACGTTGGGTGCGGCAGGGGGGCTAGAGGCTATCGTCTGCGCGCAGGTGTTGAGGCATGGGGAGATCCCGCCAACCAAGAACTTGGAAAGCCCAGACCTTGAAGACGGCTGCGACCTCAACTACTGCCCCGGAGAGAAGGTGTGTATCTATTTTTTTCTACTTCGAGAGTACTCGATGTTCACGAAGAGGGATCTATCTACTTCGAGAAGATACACACGAAACATCAAGACATGAAATGACGTTGTTTGTGTGTTTTGTGTGGCCAGGCCACCTCTTGGTCGGTTCGTGAAATCTCCCTGGTGGCCAATCCTGCGGTGGTAAGAATGACTCATTGCGCGTGCGTTGTCCATGAGCAGTGCTCTCGATCACGGTTGACGTGGAAAACACCTCTCGTGCCCTCCGGTGGGTACGTCTGCCTACCTGCTGTCTACCTGCCTATCGACCGGCCTGTTTGCCTCGTCCTCGCTGGCGACCTTCCACAGTTCCCAATCGCAAGTCAGGACGTCTTGTCTGGCCTTGGTGCGGATTAAATTGTTGGTCTGCTCACATCCGATCACACAATCGATTTGTTCTCACCTACAGTTCCAGCGACATCGTGGCAACCATTCGTACCGAGACTTGAACACAGCCCTCCCCATCCTAATCTCATTCCTACATATGAACGGGCTGCTGTGTCTACGTATTGGCGATAGGTTGTGCCCGCCGTGAAGCCAAAGGTTGCCATCAGCGACAACTTGGGCTTCGGAGGCCACAACGCCGCCCTGGCCTTCAAGGTAGGTACTGTTACGTTCTTGTTCCATGGACGACGTGACGTGTCTGGGGTGGTTGAATGTCGAAGTCGTTGGTGTGCTGTGAGTGCAACTAAATATTAGCGTATTTGGGTCTGGATCGAAGAAGACCTCGGTGCTGCTCAATCGAACATGTCAGTGTCTCTACTTGCGATGACGTTCGTGTGTTGTGGGCACGGCTATTCTGGACTTCAGTTTTTCACCGATCGGTATGTTTTGGAAACACAAGGCGGGGTCACACTGAAGGGCCACACGCAGGAGGGAGGTTTTTGGCAGTGCTTGCCACCGCCATGGCCTATGTTGTTGATGGCGAGGTCGACTCGTTCAGTCAGTCCGTTGCCCTCGTCGATAGTAAAGTCTACATTTTGGTTGCGTGCACACAGTATTGTCGTTATCCACGTATTGTGGTGAAACAAAGCAGTAAACTGATAAATGTCTTCTCTGTGCTTGTTGGTCGGCCCTTACAGCCCCATCCCGTGAGCGTCGACATTTGATGTATGCTGCGCACAAGTCCGCCTCCCCCCCTCATTGACGCTGCCTCCTCCTTTTGCTCCCCCTTGTGTGTGTGTGTGTGTGTTTCCCACCCAGGCTTACGAAGCGTGAGGCGGCAGCGGGGGGATCGACAACAGCAGAGCTTACAGAAACAAACGATAGCACTGAGACGAACGGGCGAGAGACCAAGTAACTCAAGGAGAGTCTAGAAGACGAAAGACGACGCGGCTCGACACATGGGGCAAGGCGTGGCCGCTTAGTGGGAGTGCTGTACGAAAATAGTTGCTTCGTCGTCCTAGTGTCCAACCCATAGACAGGTAGATAGGCGAAAGCTCTGTGTGTTGTAACTCGCCTCCACGTTAATCAAAGTCTTTTAAGAGCCGCTTGCTGACGATAGACCTCTTTCTTTTCTGAGCGAGTGACGTTGAAAATGCAAACGACGGCAAACCCATCTATTTGAAGTGGCCACGTTTTTTTATTCCTGCCTGTCGCATTTACGGTGCGCAGGGGCTATGCGTACCATGTTTTGCCACGTCGACACGCGGCGGGCTTTCCGGCGTTTGGCTTGTGTGTACCGTCTTGTTCCAGCCACCGATACAAGCATGTTGGCATGCTCTAATTCTAATGATACAGATGCTATTTTCGGCCCGAGTGTCGCCGTCCGGGTGGGTTACGTTTGCTTGTCGAAAGATCAAAAAAAATGTAGAGGAAAATGGCCTCCGGTGGGAGAGCCGGGTCCATTGCATAGAAACTGCCGTTGAGTTGTGATTGGCGTGGCGCTAGCAATCGTTTGCGCTGAAGTGAACCAGCAGCCCGTGGCAGAACCGGACGTACAAGTTGGGGTACACGATGTGTTCCTGCATGTGCCGTGTTTGGGTTACACAGCAAATCGGAGTGGTGTTCGTTTTCCCTCGAGTGCGTCGATCGCAAAGCCCACACCGGGCTGTTGAATCACGAGTCCCGCTCACGAATCGTGTCCATGACGCCCGCGCTGTCGTATGCATACAACGACCTGTTGACGCGAGAGGCGTCGTCATTCACGCCGCAGGGTGTTCCCGGAATTAGGGCCACACCTCTCTGATGATGGAAACACCTCGGGTACAACAAGTGGTCGACCGTATCTGTTGTTTCCAGAGGAGATGAGAAGCATACCAAACTGACGGAGGAGAGCTTCAAATCAGGCAACCTTTTCTCTAGAGACGAAATCAACAGCGGTATGGTAGATATGTGGCCGAAGGAGAACGTGTTGAGGGGGAAAAAAACAGGTGCATCTGGTGATGGTTCACTGCGCAAAGACTAATAGATGGTCGCGAGTAGATCATACGGTGATCATGGTGTGGGAGAAAAACAATTTGTAGGGTGGGAGTGTTGGAGTGATAAACCCAACGAAGCAAGGCAGCAAGGCAGCAGGGCGTCAATCCAAACCAAGAAGACGCGGTCCCCCCTCGCATGCCTCTTTTCTGCTGTTGTTGCGCAATGCTATGGTTTTCCTTCAAGTCCTGGCCTGGATGTAGGGGTTCGCCACTCGCGCTGCTGCATCACAGGCTCAAACGAGTCTGGTTTCGTTGCCTTTTTTTCTTCCTATAGCGAAGGTTTTCTCATCCAGGCCCCCCAACCCTGAAAGCCTGATGTGTTTGAATGTTTCGTCGCACGCCAGCTTGTTCGATTCGAGGAGTGACTGCCGTCGTTGACCCCGACGAAGATTCGTTGATTCCTTGATTCGTTGCCGGCCGTTCGTAGCGTTGTTCAGACAGGCCTACTATCTCGCCAAGCCCAGACGAACCAGACCGGGGATGGTTACCGTTCATCCCCAAGAAACATACACGAAAGAAAGACCCAGACAGCTGGGCTCAAACGGTTCCAAGCTCACGAGCCCGACACAAGGCCCTAAACTAGCACACGTTCCGGCACAGCGGTGATCTTGCTCCTTGTTATACCCTAGTAGTTAGACAAGCCTTTCCTTCCCCGTCTCACCCCTCCGCCGCTGCATCTTCCCCCGTACCGGGTGTTGCCAGTCTTGCACAGACGAAAGTTTCATTTTAGAGCTCCAACAAATAGATGCCGCTGCTAGGACAAATCATCATCGAAACGTCAACAACGAGGGCCTGGCAACCAAACCAAACCGATTCCAAATCGACCACACGACGCGGCACAACTTGGAACCAAGAAGAGAGCGACACTAAAAACACACAACACACAACGAGGCTTGTGATGGAAAGAGCCCCCCCCTCCCTTACGCAATTCATCTACCCGTTTTTCCGAAGCCCACCCCCCACCACGAGACCGAAAACACAAAAATAAAAACAGTCACAAAATAACTGCGGAGGGACTATCCCCAGCTGCTCCGCCCCGATTGACAGGGACGGGTGTGATAATCCACATGATCGACTATCGATCCCCCGCCCTTGACTCTCCGCTCGCAGCCTCCCCCCGGCCCTACCAACTCCACAATTCCGTCAAACAAGGTTGGAAAAACTACACCAACCGCCCGTGTGTCACCACGACTCGTCGTCGTACGAGTGGTCCACCCCTCCACCCCCCTCGTAATCTTCGAACTGCCCGTAGCTGCCCCCCCCCNNNNGGCCCCCCCCCCCCCCCCCCCCCCCTCTGCGGGGTGGCCCCACGTTGTACCCCGGCTCGCCGATCTCCGAGAACGCTCCGCCGAGGTCAGCCGGGGGCACCCACGCCGTCTCCCACTCCTTGTCCTGGAGGCTCAGCCCGGCCTCCGTTAGCTCGGCCTCGAGGCTAGCGCGCCCGTAGTGGTTCTCGTCCGCGTCGTGGGCCATGATGGCGAGGTTGTAGGCCCGCAGGTCCGGCGCTACGCCCGCCGCTTTCATCCTGTTGAACACGTTGATCACCTCCCGGGGCTCCTCCCCCTTGAAGCACGCCCCCATCGCCGCGGTGAACGAGAGGAGGTTGGGCACGACGCCGTCCTTGTCCATCTCCTCGAGGACGTCGAGCGCCAGGAGCCAGTCAGGACCGCACGCGCAGATGGCGCTCGTGTAGCTCACGACGTCGATGCTGATCCCCTTCCTGCTTGGGCACAGATTGGTTTTGGTGGCGTATATCATAGTCGGCTACGCGGTTAGTAATGTTGAGGTTTGGCTGGACGGTGAATGATGATGTGTCCCCTAGGACGCTCACTAAAAAAAAACACACACACACACACACGCGCACTTGTGGGCAAACACGCCACGCAGGCGCCGGAATCAAAATCAAAATGCCTACACAACGCAAATAAATTCCCTTGAAACAAGCTGGCGCACACCTTGAGGATGGAAACCAGGTCATGTACCTCATCAGACAACAGCAATGTGGGGGCACAAACCCTTCTTTCTTGGAAACCTCTTGCCGACGTCCGATGACACAAAATGCTCACGTTTTCATTTCTTCGAGAAGCCTCAGCGCAGTCCTGACGTCCCTGTCTATCGCAGCCGTGGTGATAATGGCGCTGTAGGCGTAGTTGTTGGGCTCCACGCCCTTGACGCCCATCTGCCTCCATAACTCCCACCCCATTCCGGTCCCTTCCATCCTGTTGGCCGCGTCGATGCAGGTGGTGTAGTGGTGCACCGTCATCGGAATGCCTGCGGTGCGCAAAAACCAAGGATAATCGCAAGCCGGTGCGGTGCGGTGAGACGGGTAAAAGGCAGGGATAGCAATAGCTCGCTAGCTCTCCGCCTTGACGGTACCACCACGTGAGCTCGGTCGACACTGCAACAGAAACCGCAGGCACTGTCACGACCTACTCTCTCTCCCCCGTTGCATGCGTATGCAGAACTATCTGCCAGTTCAAATCGAGAATCTTTCCTATTTCCGAAAGCATCCTTGTCGGAAAAAGCCACGCAGAAGGAGCTGCCCAGGAGATCGGATCGTTCTGCATACTGTAGAGCGCGTGTCGCTGCCGGCTTGGTGTTAGAATGCTCGCGCTCCGGTCGCGGTTACGTCATTTGTTGCAGGACAGACAAAGCAGGATAGCCGCATCATGGTTTACGTCGTTGTTGTTGCAGAACTCACCAGGGAGGATAGACACACCACGGTCAATGAACGAAAATAAACATGGTGTGGCTATCCTCCCTTGTGAGCTCGGGAACAACAACGACGCAAATCATGGTGTGGCTATTTTGTCGGTCCTGCAGCAAACAACGACGCGATCGCACCCGAAGCGCCAGCGTTGTGTCACCACACGGGCAGCGGCACGGCTGAACGAGATCCATGCAGAACGCCGCGCGGCTGAACGAGCAAGTTCGTAAACGTCCGCAACCTCTCCATGAACCCGTCCGACGGAAGCACTACAGTATCGCCATCCCGTGCATCCCATCTCATCCCGCAACAAGCGCCACAGCAGCGCCACGCGGACCGCGATGCGGCTTAGCGAACACCTTGAACCATTGTACTCTACATTACCGATCACAGTAGATATTAGGTGGGTACCCCGACCTTAGAGTTTGAATCCTACAAGGTCCTACCGGACAGTAGACCGATGCACTACTTTCCAATGGTGCTACTGATACCCAGAGAACGTATGCAGTATCAACCAACATTCTAGTGGTGACACAAAGGAGCCCTTGTGCTGACCATGCAGCAGTATTTACCAATACTTATGCATACGATTGGCATTTACGAGTTCCACCGAATGCTTCCGACTGATATTGACTTCATTCCAACACACGAATGGGGAGAGGGGAGCTGCCAACACCCACAGCACACACAACCAACCACGATCAGCGATCCACACGGACGCCCACCACTGCCACCATCGACATCAACACGAACACCAACCTCGCAGCAGCCACCACCACCAGCAGCAGTCAATACTGTACCAGACCACAACGGCAATGCAATAATCGCCAACATAGTTCGCAGATCACAACCCTACGGCACGTCACTTCTACCTAGACTACGCGAGCACATCCACCTCTGGCAATATGCGATTCTTCCCTTCTCGGTGTCTCAACCCCCGCGGCATCGACACATGGCAATGGCACTCCACGAAACCCTCCTTGATATTCATCTGTGTGCCCCCTCACACATAGACACACATACACACCTCTTTGCTCCATCTCATCCATGAGAGACCGCATGATGCTAAACGCCCCCTCCCCGTCGCAGGCCTTCATGAGAGTGCCGTAAGTCACCTCATCCGGCTGGACCCCGTTCTTCTCCATCGTATCCAGCACGTCCAGGGCCATGTCAGACTCTCCCGCCTGTCACAAGGCATCACGCGACGCGGCTTGGCATATGGGCTCGGGCTGCAAACACTGGCTCGGCATGCCGGCATGCATACCACCCCAATATGAATATTGGAGCATCGTGCGCTGTCTTTGCATGCATGTGTGGGCATTCGTCCCGTCCGTCTATTCGAGTGCCAGTCTACTGTACACACCGTTCGGTCGTGCTCATCACATACATCCGTCTCTTGCCAGTCAAAGAATGAGTAACACCAAACAAGACAAGAATGAGTAACCACTTGCACTCCTGCGACCAACACCATTCTCGGCTGTGGTGTTTGTGACCTGTTTGGCTCGTTATTGCTGGCGAAACACGTATTCGTGCAACCAACAGTCTAAAAACACAAGCACATCACGGCCCTCTCTACCAGTAATCCCTCACACTACACACGGACGGTTACGCCTTACGCTTGTCCACCGCTGCCGCCAATCCCCAATCCCCCGTTATCTCACCGAGGCATACGCCATGGCCATGCTGTTGTACGTGTAGCTGTCCGGCACCAGGCCAGTCTTGTGGATGACCTCCATCATTGCCTCCGCCCGCTTCCACTCCCCCGCAAGCCCAAGCCCGTGGATGACGTTGTTGAAGCACTGGAGGTTGGGCTCAATCCCGTCGTGCTGCATGCGTACCAGCAGCGCGAGGGCCCTCCGCCATTCTAGCCCCTGGATGATATCGTGTTCGGAAGTTTTTCTTGGCAGGTTGGTGATGTTTCTGAGAAAAAAATAAAATCTTAACCACGGTGTGTTGTAGCCAATGATACGCTGACAAACTGAACTGACACTGGAAAGCACAACACAAAAAAAACAAACAAAAAGACACAACCGCATCCAGAAGTGCATCACAAGCTCCCGTCCCCCCTCCCCCCGCCCACCTTCCTCCGCAAGCAAAGTACGAGGGCTACCCTACTAAAACCCCATCCAACATGCCGCACCTTTCCACACGCGCTGATCGCAGCGCCGAAGGAAACAACATCCGGCTTGATGGCAAGCTCGCTCATCTCGTCCAGGATCTTGAAGGCGCGATCCCACTCTTTGTTCTGCTTGGTCGATTCCCCCGAAAACGCAGTTGGGGGGGGGGGGGGGGGGGGGGGGGGGGGGGGGGGGGGGGGGGGGGGGGGGGGGGGGGGGGCGCAGGGTCATCGGAGGTATGCTGGGTCTTGGGTTTGGACTGTCCAGAGGAGTATGGCGTGTGCACTCCGAAAAAAGAGGCATGCTTGCGCCGGAGCAGCGGGGACCGCTACACAGCAGTATTTCCGTCGCACATGCATCAAGTACCATCGCAGGCCATGCTGTCCCACATGCAACAACACCGCATCATTCCACCCAGCAGCAGCACGGGGTCCACGGTGCATCCTTCTGTTTGTTCCTCGTCATGTCGTAACTCCAAATCACGGGGGCGCATCCCCTCCCTGGCTTGAACTTCCCCCACAACAGCTCGAGGTTGCACCTGGAGACCACGATTTCAAAGAACTATTTGTACCAACACATACAGCACTTGGATGTGGTGTACACCCTCGAGCTTGGACAGGGGGAAAGGGGTCTTCGCAATGCCACGTGGTGGTGACGATGGCAGCAAATAATAAGGTACTCGGAACAGTCGTTTCGAGTGAGATCCCTCGGAGCGGAAACCATTGCAGGCTTGCTCCTGGAGGGTGGCGGGGGGTGGGGGGCGACCAACCGACCTACAGCCGTCGTGTGTGGAAAACTAAGTACAATAAACTCAAAAGACTTTCAAATAACCCCGCACCTTCTCGCAGACCCCTAGCAGGCGGTTGTAGGTGTCGAGCGAGGGGGGGATGCCGGCCATACGCATGTCGTCGTAGATGGAAAAGGCGAGGTCGACCTCTCCGGCGAACCCGAGATCGGTCATCACTGCAGCCAACCAACACACGAAATCAATAATCAAGACCGCATCAATTAGCGGCATGAGCGACGCGCGAGAGACACACATATCAGGACCAAAGAGTGCTCGCGGAGTGGAAGGCAACAAAAACAAGCACATCTACCATACAGCGGTACCGGTTACACTATACAATTTTGGAAGAGTTCCAAAAACGACACCACCGAGCAAAAACCAAATAAAGAAGAAAGATCCACCTCATGTACATGAGGTAGATATGAGGTAGATACCAGTTAAACTACAAAAGTCTCCCGAAGGTAGATATCCTGCCTGTCTATACAAAAAACAAACACATCACACGTAGATACATACCTGTCTGAAAGGAACTCTCCGAGATGGGTAGCTCGTTCTCCTGAGCCTCCCTCAGGAGCTCCATCGACCTCTCCCAGTTCGCCCCCCGCTCTGCGTCCCTGCTGTGGCTCAAGATGTGCAGCATCGACCGGTACTCGCCCGCCGTCGGAGCTGTCCTGTCTTCCTCTTTCGCCATGCGTTCGTCGGCCGAGATGCCTCCATCGCCACCCCTCCACCCGATGGCCTTCTCGTCATCTCTCCACCTATCATCGATCTTGTCCGGGCTGTATTCGTAGCTCTCCATGAGGTCGAACACCTCCAGGGCCTGTGCCGCGCCATGGATCAACGAGCACGCCCACACCAACAGTAAAAGTCAACAACCAACACACCACAAGAGCAATAATTTCTGCGGCTCGGGGCGCCTGCGTTCTTGACCACAAGTTGCGCACCAATCTTAACATCTATGCTACAGAAAAAAATCGGCCGTCGACGATGACGTCAAAACCAAAACCTTATCCTGGAAACCTCCAAAATCGACATCATATCTTTATTTGGTAATCAATTTCCGCTCTCTCTCCCCCGGTTAACCATAACTGCCGTGCGAGTGATCGCACTCCGCCGCTTAATCAAATTTAACAGCTCAGCTCGATTTCTCCACCACCAAGAGGGGTGAAAAAGCCAGCCAATAGGTTCAAGTTCAACGAAAGCTCTCGACTAGATAGATAGATAGATAAATAGATAGATACTTCCTCTGTCACATAAGTAAAATCCGTTATGATTACACGGCCATTTAGCCGTGTCCGATGTCTTAGGCGATACTATTTTTGAAATCTTGAGCGTTTTTCGGGTTGAAACCCATATTTCTTTTTTTTTCTTGCGCACTGCCCTGCATGCACTAGCGGCTGACAAAAAAGTAGTCAGGCCAAAAAAGGCCGTATTTTGCCCCTTTCCATGAGGGTGGGGGTGGGGGCACGAAACGAAACATACCAAAAAAAGACAAGAATTATCCCGAACCCTAAACCCAAGGGTACCTCTACTGAACGATCCATCTCGCGTCCTCCCATACAAAAAACAACATAGTAGTGAAACCACACTGAAATCAAGACATTTTCGAGGCCCACACTAAAACCAAGACACTTGAGGGCGCCACACTAAAATCAAGTTACTTGCGGGGCAAAGCCGACAGGCGTACGGTCCTAACCCTACCCCCCCCTTGTACTCAACGACCCATGTCGCGTCCGCCCAATGTTTTCTGGGGTAATCACTACCAACGCCGTACCGCTCGGCGAGGGGGCCTAGAAAGCCCTTGGGTACCCTTTCTTTGCCCGGCGGAATCGCCAACGCTATCTCCACCGCCATGGCGTACCGACGACCCAACGATACTTCCGCACCCCGCTTACGACGTGGGGGTGTCTGGGCGTCGTCCCCCATGATAGCTACGTCGTTGTGGTGGTAGTGGGTGCTCACACAGCACAAAGCTGCAAATATTCTTCAAAATATTCTCAAAATGTTTTCAAAATATTCCCAAAATATTCGCAAAATAGTCCCGTATTTGACACACTAATTCTCAGTAATTGTGAGTCGGATTTTTTTTTTTTTAAGTTATGTGCGTAACAAGCGCTTTCCAACAAAGCTAACTAGAGCTTCAGGAACACCTTGGCTGGTGAGGTATGTAAAATTCCCCCATAACCGACTTTACTTATGTGACAGAGGAAGTAGAATGGAATAGAATAGATAAGTCCAAAACCGCCACCGGCCTTGTCGGGCAGTGTTCGATATCACGCACCCTTTCGGTTGTGGAGCAACGAGCTGTGAAACTTGATCAAGAGGTTGGGTGAGATCTCTCGCACAGATACGGCGGTTGGATTCCCGGCTTGTCGTAGGCACCAATCCATCTCCATCACCGTTAGGGTTGCCCTCCCCTTCCATCCTTGGGGAACGCATGCATCATTCCTTCACACCACCAAAACCACGAGTGGCCTTCAAGCGGGGACCACTACTGTATCCTAACATCCCTCCCCCCCCCGTCCACCGCCCCCTCCGGTGTTTGCCATCGGGGTTGGGTTTTCGTCGCTTGGCAACGACGGTGTAAAACAAGCCATTTCGCTTCGTGAACTCGGCAACCAGGCTACCGTTTTTTTTTTATCTCTGTTTTTTGGCGGTAACCATTATCGTGGTCGAGTAGATCATGTTGTGCGGGGTGGAGAACCCTCACTCCGCGCAAGGGGGATGATCACACCACGTTGTGTTAAAATGGTCAAGCACCCTCGAGGCAGTTACACAGTGCTTACAACTGTCTCTGCAAGTGAAAGTACCAGAAAATATATTAAGTCATACGCAGCTGTCATCCGTACGCGAGGAAGTAAGCACAAGATGCCGAACACCCTTCGCAGGATGCAGCACACCCTTCATGCCACTCGCCGAAAACCTCTCGGCGCTTCG